TCCCTCTCCTCCATTTTCCCTTCCTCCCTTCTTTCCTTCCCTCCCTCCCTATCTCTCTTTCCATCCTTCCCTCCCTCCCTCCTTCCTCGGTTACACACTACCCCCCCCCACTTCCATCCTCTTCCTCTTCAAGGGCTCAGCCCGGGAAGCATGACCTATGCCAGAGCGCCCCCTAAGTCGTGGGGGGCCACTTACAAGGCTTTCTGAGGCCAGCGGCCCCCGTGAGGTGGTCTTGCTGCTGCTGCTGCTGCTGCTGGTGGCTCCTCCCGGGGTCGGGCGCGGGGCATAAGGCACGCAGGCGGACGTTGCTGGTGTGGTGGTGGAATCTGGACGCACCCGGGGGACTCGGCCATCTCTAAGGTCACTTCCGTTGGGCCGGGCCGAGCAGCCGTGGGGCTCGAGGGGGGCACGGTGTGCTGGCGGGGTGCGGGGGGTGGGCGCCATGGCCGGCAGGCGGTGGGGGGGCGGGTGGGAGCTGTAGGTGGGCGACGGGTAGGGGAAAGGATGAGCCACCGAATTCCTCTGCTCCTGGGGGGGAGGAAGGAAGAGGAAGAGGAGGGAGAGAGAAAGAGGGAAGGAAGGAAGGAAGAGGAAGAGGAAGAGGAAGAGGAAAAGAGAGACAGAGAGAGAAAGAGAAAAAGAAAAAAGGAAGGAAAGAAGGGAGGAGGAGAAGAGGAAAAGAGAAGGAGAAAGGGAAAGAGAAAGAAGGAAGGAAGAGGAAAAGAGAGACAGAGAGAGAAAGAGAAAAAGAAAAAGAAAAAAGGAAGGAAAGAAGGGAGGAGGAGGAGGAAGAGGAAGAGGGAGAAAGAGAAAAGGAAGAAGGAAGGAAGGAAAGAGGAGGAAGAGGAAAAGGAAGAGAGAGAAAAAAGAAGGAAGGAAGATAAGAAAGAAGAAAAAAAGAGAGAGAGAGAAAAAGGAAGGAAAGAAGGAAGGGGGGAGAAGAGGAAAAGAGAAGGAGAAAGAGAAAGGGAAAGAGAAAGAAGGAAGGAAGAGGAAAAGAGACAGAGAAAGAGAAAAAGAAAAAAGGAAGGAAAGAAGGGAGGAGGAGGAGGAGGAAGAGAGAAAAAGAGAAGAGGAAGAAGGAAGGAAGGAAAGAGGAGGAAGGGGAAAAGGAAGAGAGAGAAAAAAAGAAGGAAAGAAGGAAGGAAGATAAGGAAGAAGAGAAAAAGAGAGAGAGAGAAAAAGGAAGGAAAGAAGGAAGGGAGGAGAAGAGGAAAAGAGAAGGAGAAAGGGAAAGGGAAAGAGAAAGGGAAAGAGAAAGAAATAAGAGAATGAAAAAAAAAAGAAAGGAAGGAAGGAAGGAAGGATAAAATAAATTCAGGGTGGTGCTTTTTTTGCTATTCAGCTCTTTCCTGTTGACACGAAGCGCCCTTGCAAGATGAAGTGATCTGGGGTGGTCTTAACCCACCCACTCCCCCCCCCCCCCCCAGCCCCCCATGGCAGATGCCAAGCCAAGCGGGCAGCCAGGAGCAGACACAACAGGGAGCCTTCCCCCCCCCCCAAGAAGTCCCCACCTTCCCCCCCCCCCCCCGGGAAAAGCCGGAGGGGGAAAGGGGATCAAGCCCCCCCCCCCCTCCCATCGGTTGCCCACCCCCCCTTGGGGGCTAACGCTGGGTTACGGGACAGGACGGGGGGGGGCACAACGTTTAGTGATCAGATTTACCTAGCGGCCCATCACACAAGAGTCTTTTGGGTGGCAAAAGACAGGGAGGAGACCCCATCCCTCCACAGGGACCCCTCCTCAATTTAAAACATGGGATTATCAGCTGTGTTACACTCCTCCCTCCCTTCCTCCATTCTTCTTTTCCTCCTTCCATCTAGCCATTCTTCCTCCTTTTCTCCACTTCTCGTTCTCTCCTTCCTTCCTCTGTTTCTTGTCCTCCTTTCCATTCATCTTCCTTCCCTTCCTTTTTCTTTCTTTCCTCTGTTCTTTTCTCCATCTCTCATTCCTTCCTTCCTCTCCCTTCTTTTCCTTCCATCCATCCATCCCTCATTTTTCCTTTCTTCCTTTCTCCCTATCTCTCTGCTTCCTTCCTCTTCTTTTCCTCCTTCCTTCCATCCTTCTTCCTCTTTTCCTTTCTTTCCTTCTTTTCCTTCCATCCATCCACATCCTTCCTCCCTCCCTCTTTCCTTTTCCTCATTTTCTCCTTCCATCCATCTTTCCTTCCTCTTTCCCTTTCTTCTGTTCCTTCTCTTTCTATTTCTCCCTTTCTTTTTCCCTCCTTTCCCTTCCCTTTCCCCTTTCCTTTCCTTCTCTTCAAAAATCAGTCTTCCTTCCTTCCTTCTTTCCCCTCCTCCCTCCCTCTTTTCCTTCCTTCCCTCCCTCCCTGGAGAGGCCTAGCCTTAAAGAGGAGGGGGTCCTTTCCTTTCCTCCTCTCCCAAAATCAGCCTTCCTTCCTTCCCCTCCTCCCTCCCTCTTTTCCTTCCTTCCCTCCCTCCGCGGGGAGGCTTAGCTGCAAAGTGGGAGGGGGTGTCCGCCTTACTTGTCTGTCTGGGGCGGCCATGTTCTTGCGCTCCTGGCCCCAGGGGTCTCCATGCAGGGGGCTCCATAATCCAGGCTTGGGCAGTTGATAATGGGGGTTGCCGGGGGCTCCGGGACCAGACAGGTGCTGGCCCACCCCGTTACCACCATTCTGCTCCCCGGCAGGCATTCGCAGGAAGAGAGCAAGAGGAAAGGGGTCACAGCCTCTAAATCCCCACCGCCTGCCCCCCCCGTGTCCCCCCCACACACACATCCTTCCCCATCAAGCGGTCCCAGCAAAAGACGGGGTTGACCTACAGGGCAATCTCTCCCCGCTTTTTGTAGGGACCCCCTCCCAAGGAGAAGGCAAAAGCAGCGTCCGCAAAGGATGAGAGGTCATGAAGCATGCGCAGAGTGCCGGGGGTGGGTGGGTGGGATGGAAGGTAGCAGTGGTGGGATTCAAATCATCCGACAAGCGGTTCTCTGCCCCTCATGATTTCTTCCAACAACCAGGTCACCAAACGGCTCAGAAAGTTAACAACCGGGTCTCGCGAACCGGTGTGAACCGGCTGAATCCCACCACTGGAAGGAGGGCGGCGGCGGGGGGGGGGGGAAACGGGGGCTTTGCTACCTGGTCGGGGCTGGTGCTCCTCCGCCTTTTCATGGGAGCCGGCATCTCTTCGCCGTGGCACGGGTGGGCTGGGTGCTGAACCGGCGGGATGGGCTGGACCACCGGGGGCTCCATCGGGGGGCCAGGCCTCTTGAGTTGGGGGTTGCGCTTAGCCGAGAAATTCCTCTTCTGGGGAAGCAAGAGAGGGGAGGAGCGAGAGAAAGATTGGACCGGAAAGAATTCACCTTTTTCTTTTTTTTCCTGTTAAAACCCAACTCACTAGGCCTTCCCGTGAAAACAAGAGATTTTGGGCCCTTTAAGACTGGTGGACTTCAACTCCCAGAATCCCCCCAGCCAGCCATCTTGAGCAGGGAATTCTGGGAGTTGAAGTCCACGCCTCTTAAAAAGATTGCAAAATGCCTGTTCTAGGTCACGGGCCTCCAAACTTGGCGATTTTAAGACGCATGGACTTCAACTCCCAGAATCCCCCCAGCCAGTCCAACTTTAGCCATTTTAAGGTGTGTGGACTTCAACTCCCAGAATTCTCCAGACAGCCATCTTGAGCAGGGAATTCTGGGACTCAAAGTCCATACATCTTTTTAGGAAGTTGAATTCTGGGAGTTGAAGTTCATACAATTTAAAAGATACATAGATTAAAAAAACGCTGTTCTAGGACAGAGGTGGCCGCTTGTGGACTTCAACTCCCAGAATCCCCCAGTCAGCCTGGGGAAAATGAGGCGATAACAAGGCTTCCAAGTTTCCCTCCTGTTTCAAGACCGAAAGGTGTCCACTAAACTCATCCAGACCCAAGTAGTCCTTGACTTACAACTGTTCGTTTAGTGACGGTTTGAAGTTACAACATCACTGAAAACAGTGACTTAGGATGGTTTTTCACACTTACGACTGTTGCAGCGACTGTTGCAGCAGTGGACGCTTATAGCAACTGACTCAAGTTATGACGATGGCCGTGTCCCTGGGGTCACGGGATTCCCCTTTGGCGACCTTCTGGCCAGCAAAATCGACAGGGAAGCCAGATTCACTTAACGGCCGTGTGTCTCAGTTAACAACTGCAGTGATTCGCTTAACGACAGTAGTAAGAAAGGTCATAAAATGAGGCAAATCTCACTATTAAAAAAACGCCTCATTTAGCAAGGGAGATTTTGGGCTCCCTTGTGGCCGTCAGTCGAGTTCCACCCGCACTCCAGATTAAAAGGGAACCGTTTTTGCAATTCCTTTAGTGTTTTTTTTAGCAATGACTTGAAGGAAGCATTTTTTATTTTTTTTTGAAAGGATGATTTTTAAAAATAGCATTTTTTTTAGAAAGAATGAAAAAAAGATCCAGGAACAACAACACAAGTGGGTGGCGGTGGGGGAACAACAACCAGAACGTGGTCAACCAGAAATAATCCAGGGTTCTCTTCTGCTTGAGCAGGGGGTTGGACTAGAAGACCTCAAAGGTTCCTTCCAGCTCTATTCTGATTGATTGACAAGGTTGCATTTCCTGCCACCCCCACCCCAATTCTTTGGTGTTTTTGTGCTGCCCACCTTAACTTTTAACTCATTAAAACATTGGAAAAAGGAGCATTTATGGAAACTCTGGGCGTGCGGAAGTGAAGACCGGTTCAGAATAACAGAGGCGGAAGGGACATCTAGTCTAACCCCCTGCTCAGGCAGGAGACATCCCCCCCGCCCCCCCCCGGGTGAACAATACGGGGCAGAGGCGTCTTACCTCAAGGTGTAACAGGTTCCAGACTTGTTGCAAAGGGGGTAAAACTTTGTGCCGGTGATGAGATGACCCCCCCGAATGGAAATTCCACAGCTGAGCCTGAAAAAGGGGGCGGGGGAGGTGGGAGGAAGGAGAGAAGGAAACTATGTTAAAAAAAGAAAAAAAAAGTTAAAAGCTTTTCTTCGAGGACGTTTGGGAAACTTGTTTTTCTCGGGAAGACTCGCAAAATCTCCTGGTGGTCTTCCATCCAAACGAACCGACCAGGCCAGACTGTTCTTAGCTTGGCTTTTTAAACTGGGGGAAGGCTGATGAAGGAAAGACGGGGCTGCCCAATAATATTTGGGGCAGTTTGGCGTAGCTGTTAACGCACCAGGTAGGAAACCAGGAGACAGTGAGTTCTAGTTCTGCCTTAAACGTCAACGCCAGATGTGTAACTTTGGGCCAATCACCAGGAGACTGGGAGTTCTAGTCCCGCCTTAGGCATGAAAGCCGACTGGGTGACTCCGCCAATCACGAGGAGAATGGGAGTTCTAGTCCCACCTTAGGCATGAAAGCATGCTGGGTGACTCTGCCAATCATGAGGAGACAGTGAGTTCTAGTCCCGCCTTAGGCATGAAAGCTGTCTGGGCGACTCTGTGCCAATCACCAGGTGAATGGGAGTTCTAGTCCTGCCTTAGGCATGAAAGCTGACAGGGTGACTCTGCCAATCACGAGGAGACAGTGAGTTCTAGTCCCGCTTAGGCATGAAAGCATGCTGGGCGACTTTGGGCCAATGACCAGGTGAATGGGAGTTCTAGTTCCACCTCAGGCATCCAACCTGGCTGGATCACTTTGGGCCAATCACCAGCAAACGGTGAGTTCTAGTCCTGCCTTAGGCAAGAGAGCCAACCGGGTGACTTTGGGCCAATCGCCAGGCGACTGGGAGTTCTAGGGCGTTGTTGTTGTTGTTGTTTTTACGAAGAAGGATGGGGACTCTTCAGCTCCCCCCGCCCCCCCATCCGGTTCCCTCTCCGCTACGCCTCCCCAAGGCCAGACCCCCACCTCCGTCACCACTCCCGGGCCCCACGGGCCCCCTTACCTGTTGCAACCTCCCAATCCGGGCGTGCATTTCCCCATAGCTCCCGTAGTCGCGCTGGTACCGGGCGGCGTTTTGATAGCACCGAATGGCTTCCTCGCAGTCTTGCTCGGATTCGTAGATCTCCCCCAGCTGTTCCCAGAGGTGAGGCTGGCCCTGGTCCCGGAGCAGAGCCTGGACGCAGCCGTGGATGGCCTCCAACTTCCCATGCAGGGGGCGGGGCGGGAGATTCCTGCGAGGGACGGGGGGGGTGGGGGGGAAGAAGAGAGGAACGAGAGGGGAGATGCGATGAGCAGCAGGCGGAGAAGAAGCCAACGAGTGAGGAAGGGGTCCTGGAGGGGCGGGGGGGAGGTCTAAGGAGGACCCGGCAAAGGAGAAGTGAAAGCAGGGAGGGGGGGGGGTTGGAAGAGGGGGCAGCAACGAAGCCGAAAGGACAGAGCTGCGTAGCAGAAGTTAGCAGGACCATGCAAGCAAGCGGACAGGAGCGGCTGGGGGTTCAACAGGGAAGGATATTTGCAGCCCCGGGTTGAATTGAAGGGTCCTTGGTGGTCTCTGAAGCTTGAAGGGGTGAAGGGTGGGTGGGGGGTTCCTTGCAGACGTTTCACGTCCCAAGTAGGGAACACTATCAGTGCTAGAAGGGAGTGGGTTTTGCAGAGATGAGGAGGAGGAGGAGGAGGAGGAAAGGGAGGAGGAAGAGGAGGAACGCGGGGTCCTTGGTGCCCTCTGAGCTTGGCTGTTTCCTTGCAGACGTTTCAGGACCCAACCAGGTAACGTCATCAGTGCGAAAGGGGGCATGGTTTGCTTGCGCCTTTTTTCAGATGAAATCTATGGGGCGGGGGGGGGGATCTTGGCCTTTCTCCTTCCCCTCCCATGCAAAACGGGGTGGCCTACCGCCCCCCCCCTCCCCTCCCCCAGCCAGGCCAGGCACGAAACTCACCCGGGGGCATAGTAGCCTTTGCTGTACTGCCCCAAATTAGCACCATGGCTGGGCGGCAACGGCAGGGGCAGAGGTGGCTGGACGGCACTGGCAGAACACCTGGCAGCGGAAAAGCAGGGTGGGTGGGTGAGAAAGACATGACAGATGTCAGCTGGGGTGGGTGGGGGGTGGGTGGGTGGGAGAACACAAGGGTCCTGCCCCCATCCAGCCGGGCTGGATTTTCTTCTTCTATGGGGTGGAAAATGCACCCTGAGACCATTTGGGGCGGGGGTCTCTCTCTCTCTCTCGACTTAGGAAAGGAAGCAGAGCAGACCACACCGAAACAGCCCCCCACTCAATACGGGAAAGAAAGGGGAGGCAGAACACGGTTTTGACAAAGCTTCTCCGGCAGAAACGCAGGGCGGCAGCTGAAGCTAACCCTGGTTGAGGCTCGCAGGAATTTGGGGGGGGGGGGGGGGAAAGACCCTCCCCAGATAAGCAAGACCAACAGATTTTGAGCTCAATCATCTTCTTTTAAAGACCCCTGTCATCCCCTTGCGGGGTGGACTCTTGGGCAACTGAATGGAGCGGAGTGTTGATTGGCCGGATGCTCTTCCTGTCGCCAGGGAGGAGTCTTTTGTTCTCATTGTGCCCAGAAGGAGAAATATCTGGGAAATATTTTACCTAGGATCAAACCCACAGCCTCCCGACTGTAAGGTGAGAGCGCCACCTCAAGCTAACACACCACTCATTTCCGTTCCCCAAATTTGAATAGCAACTGAACGGAGCTAGCAGAGTGTTTTAATGGCCGGATGCCCTTCCTGTCCCAGGACGGAGTTTTTTGTTCAGCTCAATAAAGGGGTATATTTGTAGCTCAGGGTTGAAAAGAGGAGTCCTCGGGGGTCTTCTGAGCTTGGTGGTTTTCCTTGCGGACGTTTCAGAACCCAACTAGGCAACGTCATCGGTAGTGGAAGGGAGTAGCACTTGCATATCCAGCACTGCTGACGTTGCCTAGTTGGGTTGTGAAACGTCTGCAAGGAAAACCACCAAGCTCAGAAGACCCCCGAGGATCCCTGATCTCTTCTTAGCTCAGGGGCACAAAGGCCCCCCTGGAGATCGGAGGTAGTCCTCAACTTGTGACCGCAAATTGAGCCTGGAATTACGGTGATGAGTCATATAAGCCGTTAAGCAATTCCATCACCTAAGTGGAAACTTGATTTTACGACATTTTTGCGGTGGCCATTAAGCAAATCGCCATCCTCATTAAGGGAATGAAAAGTCGTTAAGTGAACAAAGCAGTCATTAAAGCAAAAACTTCTGTCTGGAATGGTGAGGGGGTTTTGCCTGAAAATAGTAATAATGACTAAAAAAAACACCCGTTGCGGGTCGCAGTCACAACTGCGGGACGTGGCAAACAGCCGTCAATCTGGATCTGTTGCCAAGGGTCCAAATTCCGATCACGTGATGGCCGTCGGAACTTTGAATTTGGGGTTCCTAAGTCCCTTTTGGGGGGGCTCCATCACTGCAAAACGGTTGCTAAACACCCAGTCGTAAGTCGAGGACCACCTGTGTGCAGGAGCCAATTTACTCTGCGGAGTTCTGCCTAAGGGGGCAGTCCTCAACATATGACCGCAACGGAGCCCAGAGTTTCCATTGCTAAGCGAGACAGTGGTTAAGTGAGCTTTGGTCCCTTTGTCAAACTCGTAAAATATTCCTACGGTCTGTTTACAGTTGCCGACAGAAAGGGAGGTGGGAGGGAAAGGGGTTTGAAAGAGCAGCGCGGCAGCTGGGAAACCGAAAGCGCATTCCATCAATAGCTTTTCAAAGATAGTAACTAGGAGACTGGAGTTTCTGCTGTGCAAAACCGGAGAGCATGGTTGATGACTCTGGGCTATGGCTGTGTCCCATTGGAGAATACGAATTACGATTCACCGGGGGGGGGGGGGGGGGGAGGGAAACCAGGGTCAAGGGTGACAGTGAATGATGGGTCTCAGAGTCGGCTACACCCAGGCAGTGCCAGACCTGTTCACTTCCAATAAATCCTTTTTGGAAGTTTTGCTCAAGACTCATGATTTAATTGCGGGGTAATTAAACGGGTGCCAGAATCCTGACGCCCTTTTTACAACCATGGGGGGGGAGGGGGATGCTGCAACGGTCATAAGTGTGAACAATGATCATAATTCTGCCCCCCCCCCCTTTTTTTTAGTGCCAACGTCACTCTCGACAGTCACTAAATGGACGGTTGTTAAGTCGAGAATTACCTGCACGGATGAATTTATCTAGGAAACTCAAAAAAAGTTTCTCTCTTTTTAAAAACACTTATCATTATATATCAATAACTCCCAAATTTCACCTGGAAAAGCAAGGATTTTGGAAGCAAAAATGAGGTTTTTTGTGGGGTGTGGGGAGGAAGCCAGGCTTGACTGAGAGACCTCAGGAGCTGTTGACCTCCCCCCACTTGCCCAACCCCCACCAGGACTGTCCCACCAACCCGCCGCCCCCTTTCCTCTCGCCCTCCCCCTGCCCAGAATACCTGCCCCCCGGGAGCCATGGGCGAGAATGGCACGAACTCCAGGCTCCACTACAGCCCAGGTGGCCGAGAGAAAATGGGTCCCGCCCAGCACGGACCCCTAACTGTTCCAACGTTCGATGCATCCAGTCTGCGGGCGGAAAAGAGAGACGGGGTTAGGGGCAACCGGCAGAGGAGGGAGACATTTCCCCCCCACATACACACACACCCTGCCAGAGACCTTTTATGTCCGGCATGTTGTAATTTAACTCTTTTCACTAAATACCCACTTTCTACAAAGAGAAATCGCTTCCCTTCGTTTGAGCTTCTGTGTTCTGATAATGGGCAGGGCCGGGCGGTTATCGGCTGCTATCGGTTCGCACCGGTTCAGACGAACCGGTTGCTAATTTTAGGGCCGGTTCAACGAATTTAATTGTACAATGAAATTGAATGAGCCTGCCTTGGTGCAGCCAACCGCTACCCCACACAAAAAAAAAAAAAAACATGAAATACATCTCAATAACTCAATAAATGAAAGACATAGAATCCCTAAACCCAAATAAGTAATAACACACATTCCCATATACCTATAAATACGCAAACTAGCTCTATACCCGTGCTTCACTTCGAAACTAGGTGGTCGGGCTTAATTTTGGGGAAGAAAAATAAGGGGGAAAAAAACTCTGCCTCTGCCTATCAGCATCCATCGGTATTCATCTGACTAGCGTCCTGTCAGTGTGTGAGAGAGTTGAGGGCTGGGTGGAAATTGAAACAGTATTTGCTGTGTGAGCAAGGAGACAGCAAGGAGCCTGGGCGTGGCTTAGCTCAACTGTTCTGGACTAAAGCTGCTGGGTGCTGTGAAACTGAAACTCCTCTGCTTGTGTTTTGCATTTGGAAGAGATTTCTTTTCAGGTGGGAAGGGGGAGTAGAACTCCTAAGCATCAGAGCGTGTGAATAATAATAATAATAATAATAATAATAATAATAATAATAATAATAATAATAATAAATGAAATATTCTAAATGCTCTGAAGGTCATTTGGAAAAATCCTTTCTTAGTGAGCCCCTAGAAGCCAAGAGGAACATAGGTGCCTAATTTCCAAGTTTGTAGGTTTTACAGTTCTGGAGATTTTGTGATGATGCGTGAGGGGCATTTCGCTTTTATATAGATAAGATTACACCAGTATGAACATGTTGCACATTGCATTGGCCCTGCAAATCTATCATATTAAACCTAATTGTGGTGTTATGTTGCACGCCGAAGAACTTACGCTTTCTCCTTTCCCCACAGCAACCCTGCGAGGTGGGCTGGGCTGGGCTGGGCGAGAGACTCACCCAAAATCACCGAATTGGTTTTCATGCCTAAGGTGGGACTAGAACTCCCAGTCGCCTGGGGAATGGCTTAAAGTCACCCAGACAGCTTTCACCCCCTAAGGCAAGATTAGAACTCCCGGTTATCCGGTGATTGACCCAAAGTCACCCCAGCTGGCTTTCATGCCCAAGGCAGGACTGGAATTCACCACCTCCCTCTTTCTAGACTAGCACCTTTACCCACTTAACCAAACTGACTCCTCCTTTCGCACAAGACCCAGATGGGGGTTTGGGGGCCCCCCAAAAAAGAAAGACAAACCACGTCTGAAGGTACACGGACGTAGGTCGCCAGAGACCCAGACTGACCAGAAGACCCAAATAATAGCATAGTAATCAATGCTATAAAAACCGGAGCCTCCAATCTTGGGAACGTTAAGACTGGTGGACTTCAAATCCCAGAATTCCTCAGCCGGTTGAAGACTCCGAGACTTCAACTGCCAGAATTCCTCTTGTCGCTTTGAGACTTTAAACTCCCAGAATTCCCCCCCCCCCCAGTCAGGGATATTCTGGGAATTGAAGTCCACCAGCCGTAAATTTGCCGAGGGTGGAGACCCCTGATGGAAGACGCATCTTCTACCCATTTTTATTATCAGGGCCATTTGGTACATTTAATCCTGTTTGATCCCCCCAAATCCTCTCATGCACCCCAGGGACCGTTGCTGCTGCCCCCCCCCCCCCCCTCCATTTACCCCAAGCCCATTTCTTACCTTTCTGCCGCTGTGGATGCGTCTTCGTTGCCCTCCCCCCCCCCCCCCAAGCCCCAGGCGGGGGGTGCCCCCCCCCGGCTGTGGATAATTTAGACCTCCTCCGGTTTAAAGCCTCTGGCAGTCACAACCACATATAATGCTACAAGAAAAAGAGAGAGAGAGAGAGAGAGAAAGAAAAACACCGTTTAAATTCTCAACTATAACCCTTCGCACCCCCTCCCCAAAGTGCATTCTGATAACCCCGTGACCCCCTTGTTCCGTCTCCCCCAACCCAGGAAGTAGGGGGAGGCTTCTAAAAGCTGCCCCCCGCCCGTGCCAAGGATGGAAATAGCCTTTTCCCTTCTTTTTTTGTGGAGGGGGGGAGAATTTTGCACCCAGAACCCTCACACACACACACCCCTAAAAAAAAAAAAAATGTGCAAAGGTTGTTAGGTCGCGTGAATGCGGTTTTTGAAACGGGAATTGGGGGTTTGGAGTTTAGGAAGAGCAGCCATTATCCTTCCAGTTTTGAGCCCGGTTCTGGGACGGGCCTGAGCTTCCCCGCGCTCTGGCTGGGAGCAATGGGAGTTGTAGTCCCAAATAAAGGCAGAAAGGGGACGGGGGACAAGGATTGGGTGGGGGGGAGGTATAAAACCGAGAGAGGCATGCACTTTTCCTCGGTAAATTCCCAGGTTTCATCTTAGGCTTTCCAAATCATCATTCCAACACGCGGACACGCACTAGGGAGCATTCACACGACACGCGCGGCTCTGAACCCGCATCTGCCCAAAGCCTCGGCTTCCCTTTCCCTTTCCCGGCCGTACTCTCAGCACGTGGAAGGCGACCCCAGCGTCCAAGCCCGGAGACGGCGGAAGCGGCTTGCCTTTTCCGCCGCTTTCGGGGGTCGTTCCCATCCCACGTCCCCAGTTTAACTCAGTTCGCTCCAGCCGGAGAGGATTAATCCTCGGCGTTTTTTTGTTTTTTTTAAACTCTCCCACCCATCAGCGCAAGCTCCTCCTCCTCGAGGCGGGACCCTTCTGGCCCCGCACCCAATAGAACGCCCGGCTTGGAAGGTGGGAAGGCGGGGCCTCCGCCCCGCCCGCCTCCAAAATTAACCCCTGCCCAGCTGGCTGTTCTTAGCCGACTTTGCCTTGTGCTCTTTTCTCTCCAGCCAAGCAACCAATTGCGCCCCCTCCTCCCTTCGGCCACCAATCAGCTTTCGCCTTGATCTTCCAGAGGGGTCTGAAACCATAGAGATAAATGGGGAAGGGTCGCCCGAGATTCGCACTCCCGATAAGCGATTGCTACTGTCTGGCCAGCTGAAAGTTGGGCGGGGGGGAGAAGAGCCAGCCAAAGGCGAACTATGGACTAAATACGGTGCTTCTCAAACTTGGAGATGGGCGGACTTCAACTCCCAGAATTCCCCAGCGGAGGATTTTTATAGGTCGTCCTTGACTTTTAGCGACCGTTTCAAAGATACAAGGGGCTCTGCAGATGAACTTGGCAAGAGTTTGTTTAGGGATGAACTTATAAAAGACTTTGTTTAGGGATGAACTTTTAGCAGTTCGTTTAGTGGCGAACTTACAAAAGGGTTTGTTTAATGACAAACATACGACAGTTCATTTACTGACTGAAGTTTCAGCGGCACTGGAAAAAGTGACTTAGGACCATTTTTGTCACACTTAACGACCCATGGTCCCGTGTTCTAAATTCAGATGCTGGACAACTGACTCGTATTTATGACGGTGTCAAACCCCCCCCCCCCCCGGGTTTATCGGATTCCTCTTTTGCAACCAGCAAAAAAGTCAATGGGGAAAGCCAGATTCACTTTACGACCGTGTGACTCCCTTAACAATGGCAGGGCAGAACTCGTTGAGCAACGGTATCGCTTGGCAATGGAAATTCGGGGTTCAGCTGTAGGTTGTTAAGTGGGAGCCCATGGGTTGACTCCCTTCATTCCCAGCCAGGCCATGCAGCTTATCCTCAAAACAACAACCCTGGAAGGTGTGTTGGGCTGAGACACAGAGACTGGCCCAGAGTCACCCAGAATCTTCAGCTGGCTTTTAGGCCTAAGGCAGAGCTAAGGCAGAACTCACAGCCTCTTGTCGTTGCGGTCATAAGTCGAGGTACCATGATGGAGCCCCAACGCATCTGTTGTTCAGTGAGACATTGGTTAAGTGAGACAACTTTGCTTGTCAGAAGGTCACAGAAGGACTACAACCGTCATAAATAGGAGTCGGTTCCCAAGCGTCTGAATTTGGATCGTGTGACCACGGGGAAGCTGCCAGGTGGTCGTAAGTGTGAAAAACGGAGTCGTAAATCACTTTTTTCCCCCAATCCCGTCGTAACTTCGGACTTCGGTCGCCAGATGAACGAAGAAGCCGCCCGCAATACACACCTGGAATCCGGCGTCCAGTTTTGGTCCCCACGTTTACAGGAAAGTCGCCGAGACTTTGGGAAAAGGGCAGAGAAGAGCAACTGGGGCGATTACAGGCCTGGAGAGTAAAACCTACGAAGAACAACGGTGGCAGGATTTCGGTTGGGCCAGAAAAGGAGGACTTGGGGGGGGGGCGGAGGGCATGGCAGCCTCTTCCAGTATTTGGGGGGCTGCCCCAAAGAAGAGGTGGGGGCCCCTATCCTCCAAAGCCCCTGGACGAAGGACAAGAAGCAACGGGTGGAAACTCACCAGGGAGAGAAGCAACCTGGAATTAAAGGAGAAACTTCCTAAGAGGGAGGACAATTAACCCGTGGAACCGCTTGCCACCAGAAATTGCGGGTGCTCCAACATGGGAGGTTGTTAAAAGAAGGAACTGGACGGTCATTTGTCCGGAATGGCTCAGGATCTCCTGGTTGAGCAGGGGGCTGGACTAGAAGACCTCCAAGGTCCCTTTCCAGCTCTGTGTTCCGATTAAAACCGATGGAAAGCCTGGTGCTTTAACCACGAGACCTCCCCTCCGCCCCAACCAGGTGCCCTCCATCTTCCCATCTGTAAAATGGGCAGAGCTCAGCTTAAGCTGCTCTGGGGAGGAATGAATGAAGCAATTTTTCTCTCTTCCCCGGCTCAATTTCTCTCCCGCAACCCCTTCCACAATTCGACCGGAATTTAGGAGAGCCCTTTTTTTATTTTATTTTCCCCCCCACGCTGCCACGGAAAGACCTCACGGGAGGGGAGGGCCCGTGACTCACCCACCCACGTTCCGTGTCCTGCCAGAAACCCGGAGCCAGACAGTCTCACTGGCCAGGCCAGGCCTATCTTTGGTGTGGTCACGCCTGGGCTTTTATAACCAGATACGATCCGTGGGAACCCACCCACCACACAGGGCTAGGCGCAAGGAAGCCTGTTTTGGAGGGGGGGGTGGGGGAAAGTCTCGTCTTCCCCCCCCCTCTCCCCTCCAGCCCCAGACGTGGCTAGGAGGGTGGCTATTTCTGGAACAGCCCGGAGCTAAGTTTGGGTTCCCATGCAAGGCAAGGCGGTTGCGGTTACAACGGGCCTTGTGTGTGCATTGCACGCCTGCCAAGCAGCCCAGCGGATGGGGGGGGGGGGGAAGGGGGGGGTTGGGGGGGGGGGAGAGTAAGCAGCTGGCAGGACTTCCCTGCACGCCTTCGGATGAGGAAGCTGCCAGGCCGAATCACCAATGGCCCCATTCGCACGTCTTCGGTTCGTGCGAAGTGGGAGCAACGTCCGACCGGCGCGGCGGGACGGGAGTGCAAACTTCCAAGGGGAGACGCATCACCCGAAGTGTGCGAAGGTCGAAGGAGGGATGGGGACAAGAAGATCTTTCGCCCTGGGGACGCTGGGGTGGTGGTGTTGCTAATCAAACCAATCGAGGACTTTCTACTAAGAAAGTTTCTACTTTCTACTAAGCTTCCTAACAGGGAGGACAGTTGACCAGTGGAACGGCTTGCCACCAGAACAGAGGTCTCCAAACATGGCCACTTTAGACTCGTGGACTTCAACTCCCAGAATTCCTCAGCCAGCCACAAAGAGTAGAGGAAGGAACGGAGGGAGGGAGGGAGGGAGGAGAGAAAGGGAAGGGAGGAAAAGGGAAGAAAGCGAAAAGAAAGGGAAAGGGGAAGAGAGAGGAAGGGAGGAGGGGGAGGGAAGGAAGGAAGGGGAAAGGGAGAAGAGAAAGGGAAATGAGAGGAAGAAAGGAAGGAGAAAAGGGGAACGGAGGAGAGGAAGGAAAGGAGGTGAGAAAGGAAGGGGAGGAGAGGGAAGGGAGAAGAGAGGAAAGGCAGGGAGGGAGGGAAATAGGAAGGATGAAGTTGAGAGACAGAAGAAAAGAAAAGAAAAGAAAAAATGGAAGGGAGGAAAGAGATGCAAAAAGGAGAATGGGAGGAAGAGGAGAGAAAGGGAAGGAAGGACAGAGTGAGAAATCAGGAAGGAAAGAAAGAAGGAGAAAAGGAAGAGGAGAAGGAAGAAAAAAGGAGGGAGAAAAGAGAGAGAAAGGGAGAGAAGGGAAGAAAAGGGAGGGAGGACAACTGCACTGGACTAGGCATAATTCAGAGAGGAAGAGGAGGAAAAGGAAGAAGAAAAAGGCCCTTTGGAACAAGCCAATTTTGCTGACGCTGGGGGTTGGACTAGAAGACCTCCAAGGTCCCTTCCAATCCCCGTTCTGTGTTCTAAACCAGGAGTGTCCAACTCTGACAAGTTTAAGACGGGTGGATTTCAACTCCCAGATTTCCTCAGCTGGCTTGGGACTTCTGGGAATTGAAGTCCGCCAGTCTCAAAGTCGCCAAGTTTCGAGATCCCCGCAGTAGAAGTTGCGGCATTTGAGAAGAGATCGGACAACTCTTCGTCTGAAATAGCGTAGGGTTTTCGGTTTTAGCTTACTTTCTCGTCCTTGAAGCACGTAAAGTTTAATCGAGCACCATCTTCGGTGCACGTCATGACCCTGAAAATGAACACAAGCCTACGTCCTTCACTCTCCACCGAAAAGCCACAACACTGAACAGAATCCAACAGGGCTGGGATAGAGGCTGTTTTTTCGGCCTATCTGTCCTTGTTTTCATTCTCCTGTACCGTCTGCCAGATAGCAACAGTTCAAAACAAGGGTGCCCGGGA